CATTACGGAGGTGTTAGCATGGTTATATGAATAAACCTAAAGTCTCGCTTGTGGAATAACTTGAGTTAAATCCTAGTTTTTATTTTTGTCTGTGTTTGAGTTGTGTGCTCTTCTCTTTATTAGATCCTGTTTTCTCCCACGCTGGATATCATTCAGAGTGCAGTTATTTGTATGTCAAACAAACCTGTGCCCAAACATTACTCAAACCATACATACTGTACTCATGCCATGTGCAGGAGTTGGATAAAATAATGTGAACACCCATTATTATAGGGGTTAATATAAATTATGCAGAACAAATCATGGAAGCCCGTTTAGCAGGAGCGTTTGTAACTATAATAGCCCAATTGTTTGGTGTTTTAAGAACAACAGTCTTCAAAATTATGACGGCGTACACAAAGCATGGCAAGACTTTAGTGAAGAAGGATAGTGGGTGAAACTGAAAGCAGATGATAGGGACTGTCGAGCACTAAAAATAATTGTGTCCAGGCAACACAGAACTACTGCAGGAATGTGACAGCAAACCTCAATATTCACCTTGAAGATCCAGTTTCCACAAAAAAACTGACCACAGAGAGCTTCACAAAGCCAACATCAGTTGGCTGCAGTTGTTAAAATTTTAATCAGAGACACCAAGATGAGCTTCAACTTCTGCCTTGTCCAGATAAATCACCTGACTTGAGTATTATCAAACCACTGTGGGTAGGTTTGGAGAGATTAGTGAGAAGCAGATTCCCTTCTTCAAACTCTCTAGAGCAACTGTCAGAAACAGTGATAGAATAAATAGATATGAGTCTATTCTAAGAAGGTTGGAGGCTGCATTAATGGTTAATGGTGGTAAAACACGTATAAAACATAATTAAAACATAATAATGAAATGTCACCTATTTTACAGACATTGTTTTGTCCAACCCCCGTAGAGCCCTTTGAAATCTGTTTTATCACCCCCCCCAATTTTGTGTTTTCCTTTTTCTTTTTTTTTTCTGGATTTTGTTTGAAAAGTGACATTTTATTAATCAATAAGGATGTCTAATCAATTGAATTATGAATAAAACTTTAGTAATTCTATCTATCTATCTATCTATCTATGCAGATTTCATTAGTGTTTGCAGCACTAAACTGATTGGCTACTAATGGCTACATGGAAAAACAGTTCTGTGCATGTTTTATTGCCCGGCGGGCTGAGACACAATCTAGTGCTGCAGATGGTCGAAGTCTCTCCATTAATCTCTTATTGGTATGTAATTATTTCTTTGCCACTGCATAATTAATAACGTCACTTTGATTTCTATAGTCACGGTGTATGATTACAAAGTGCGCATGAACACGACATTTTTCCTGGTGATGTCAGTGAGTTGTTGTATGACAGCCATCCGTGTCATTGAGACTGACATTTGACCAATGTTGGGCCAGCGATTGATGGGAAATCTGGGGGCGAGGCCAGGCTAATGAAGCCAGCAACGGGTCAACGCTTGATACAAATCTTCTAAAGCCCACAGGGAGAGCGCTCAGGTCTTGGTACTGCTAACACTGGGCCTGCATTAGGCCTTGGTTTGCTGGGAAGGCTGGGCAGAGGCCAGGCTTCTGCTGGGTGAGGGTTATTTCTGAAGGACACTGGGGAGGGTACAGCTGGTGTCCCTGCTGTTCGGAGTGTAAAGCAGCCAGCCTGCTGAAACAAAGCCAATCGGCTGCTGCTGAGAAACCGTCTGTCCTCAGTGGAATCAAACCCATCTCTTGTACTTTTCTCACCTCTGTTCTGTGCACACATCTGCAGTTACTGTCTATACATGTTATAGTACAATACTGAACCTTAGAATATGGAACAGATCACGTTTTCTTGGTTTTGGAACAACATTCTTATTAGCTAGTCAGATTTGAGGGTTAGATTTGGCGACATGCTCTTGGATCAGCATGTTTTTACTGGAGCAACGTTCCCAAGCTATCTATATTCCTAACTCCAACCCTAACCATTAAACACAGTTTAAATCAGAAAGATAGTTTGATAGTTCTGATTGGTTGTTGGGCATGTTGTTCCAGCTCCAGCAATGATCAAGGAACACATTTCACTTCACGGTCAATCTGGCGTTTGATTGATGAATGTTATTTTTTCATTTTGTCATACTTGGCTAAATCGCGTTGTACCACGTACAAAGATAGGCCTTAAGGTTCCAAGACAATTAAATAAAAATATGAATTCTGAGTAAAAATATTGATTTTCCAATCTTAAGATTGATGTTATACTCTGTGAATGTGAGATTGTGAAATTTCTTTTGGGTTCGCAGACTGCAATGAAAGATGAACATACAGTACAACATGACCAGTTTATTCTGATCCATGAACAAATGACTCTTATGATCCATTTCTCTTAAGTAATTCAGAAACATACTGCATTCATTTGTCATACTCTACTTTTTACTATTATATTTAAGTCATGAAATTGTAGGATTTTGCGTTTCAATGACATTGAATTGAATCCAATCAATTCATATTGAAATATGAGTTCAATCAAATTGGGAGCTTGTGAATCATAATTGGAATTAATAGGGAAATCTGTCTCAATTCCTAGCCCTAGATGGCATAAATATAAGGAATAAGTTATTAGCATCAATGACATCCTTACTCGCTGCACCAAATCCTGGTCACTTTCAATGAAAAGGAGCTCTCAAATCCTCTAATTTGCAGAAATGCATCTAAGAGATCATAACCTAAAAGGAATAGCTGACATTATTGCAGTGTGTACAGGCACAGTCACAGCCACAGCCACCAGCAGCACACTGCATATGAATACAAAATAAAACATGATGACTATAATTAATATTCCAGTCAGCTTAAGTGCACATTAAATTACCTAGAACTGCATCGATAATGCATGATCTTCCATTTCTATTGCTTTCAAAGAAGAATAGTGTTTGGATATGAAATCCACATGTGTTTTCTCATTTTAAAAAAATGCAATTACTGCTTGCTTTGCAGGTGTGTGTGAGTCAGGGTATCTCAAGGTAAGAGTTGGTATGCAGACACAAGCAATGACTTTGTACTTTGCTGATCACTCTTTGATGAGGCCATTTGCAGAACAGCAAACATAGAGGTGTCTCTCAAGAGACAGAGGCAGGTGCAGTCACAGCAGAATGCAGACGGAGAAAAATATTAACCATTCAGTTGTTCATATGGGGTTATAAAGTTACGATTAAGACCCTGAAGAACCCATGCAATTAACACTCTCCCATCCTGACCACTCCCTGTCATCGAAGAGGGTTAAATTCAAGAGGGTTTCCATGGTGATTCACCAGGACACATAGAGGATCAACATGTGTTGTCACTTCGTAGCCATACATTTCTAGCTTCGATTTCTAGAAGGAAAGAAATGAAGCATAAAATTGCATTGGTGTGAAATGACATTAAAAAAAAAATCAGACTTGGTGCTGTTTCTCGTTTCATAGATGTGAGAGTTGGACAGTGTCACTTTGGACATCATGTAAAGAGAAAGATGATTAGGGAAAGACATCATGGCAGTGGTGAATGTGTAAGAGTTAAATTGATACAATAACAGCAGATCTGGGAATTGTATTATTCATGACCAGTTGTTTGACTGAAGACTGAACATTGTTTAGAAGAGCTGTCCAAAGAGGCTGTTATGAGTCGACATTGAATCAATGGCACTTAACAACAACAGATTTGTGCACATTAATGGATGCTGTACAAATATCAAATACACCCCTAAATCAATGCAAAACTTTATTTTTTTATTGTAGTAGTTAAGTCTGTATTCTTTAAAAAAAAAAAAAAAAAAAGAGCGTTTTCTATAATGGATTTCTTGAACTTGAGATTTGGATTACACATCGCTTCATGCTCTCTTTATCATTTTTATAATTAAAGTGATTATTACATTAAACACCTCATCAAATCAAACTAGGCAATTGACTAGGCAACTTTCCTTCAAACTGTCTTTCAGACTTCTTTAATAATTTGTCATTTTTTATTACTGTTATATTTTAATTGCAGCATTTTAAGATTTTGCATTTCACAACCACCACTTGCAAGCATAAACCGTCTGACATTTAATTTTCAACAAAAGAGATGAGTCATTTACCCTTCTTACTTTTTATATCTTTGTTCTTATGCAACAAGCTGGCCTTTTGAAGTGGAGGCATTTCACTGTGAAATTGTCGAACTCTGAGCACAGCAATAGTGGGGTCCACATAAGAGACATCAGGCGACCCACAGGGAACTGCTATTAGCTCTATCCTCAGTCCAGATTCAGACGATTTCGAAATTAATGAACATCAGACTGAATAATAGACACTCTACAAGCATCTTCCTTCACGATGGGAGGTCACGTTACCCAGAATTCATCCCATTAATTAGCACCTGCCCTTTCCTTGACAGTGAGCCCTTGCTATTGATAGAGCTCTCTCTGGGGAAATCACAACCTCTACACCTAGTCGTTCTTCTGCGAATTCTTTGTCTTCATGTGCGCACGAACGTCTACAAGTCACCATGCCGGGACTTGCCATGTACATCATCCAGCTTCCAACCTCTTGAAGTGCATGCACACGCTCCAAGGATGGTTTCGTAAATGTCCTTGCTTACTGTCCTTGCACCCTTTGCTTAAGAGGTGTGAGGATTCTAATACTAGCTGAGAGGGTCATCTTAGTTGACTGCTGCCAGAACCATTGCCTGCTGACTGCATCATCGTCCACGGTAGCCAATCACAGCCAAGGACTTAGTGATGCTATGCCACTCTCACTGGAGGGATTCCGAAGGAAGTGCCTCGTGACGGCGCATGGTTAAACAGCCAAGAGTCTGTTTCTCTCTCCCTCCCTCTCTCAGGATTGGATGCATGCACGATCTGGTTTTTACAGGGATAGCACATTACCATGCACACTACTCCCTGCAGGCTCAGCAGAGAATAGAGACAACAGCAGCTCTCTATCTCTCTCTCTCTCTCTCTCTCTCCTGCTCTCACCACCTCTACTAGACAAGACTCCTCCTCTCCATCTCTCTGTGACTCCCTCTCTCTCGCATATGATCTGTACTTCACTTCCTTCCAGCTGAAGCAGGAGATAACAGCACGCTACATACAGGTAGGCACTCATATTTCCCTCTCTGAAGTTGCAGGTGTTTGGATGTTGCCGGTTTGTTTTCGTATTGGATGCGATTCTGAAAGAGACCTACACTGGGTCAGAGTAGAGCATGCCATCATAAATGCCCGCCCCTACAGCGTGGCGTTTGTTTTCACGCCAGCGCTGCTTTTGGCACCGTTTCCTTCCTCTTTCTGGCCAGCCGGGGAAGGTGGTAGTTTACTGGTTGGATGGTTCCTGTGAGAAACCCATCATCTACTGCCACGCTTAGCTGAGATCTGCTTATCCAAGTAGGGGGAAATGATTCACACATTTGTAGCTGGAGATTGGAGATGTATTTTCTTACATGTAGGTTTGTGTGTGCGGGTGGACGGCTGAGGTTGGAAGGGAGGGGAGATGGAAGCTGAGATGCTGTATTCATCCCAGGGAAACTAATCCCACCACAGCTCTCCGTATCTGATAAACACTCTCTTCGTCTTTTCTCCCTCTACCCTTCAAGTGTGATGGGTTTATCTGTGGCTGTGGATAGTGGAAAATTATTCCAGTGGAGGAAATTACTTCAGAATGGCAGATAATTCCCACAGTAAAAGAGCTTCTTTCTGCCCTAGAAACCATTATTTGTTCTGCCCTGGGAATCACGACTGCCAACATATATTTGGAGACAGGTGCTCTCTCCTTCAACCTAGAGTGGCAGCCAAAGAGAAAGTAGGTTCGCCGTGTGTCAATATGAATCTCAAGATTGTTATTAAATCGTACTTGACTTTCCTTCTCAACTCAAGCTCTCCTTTTGTTTGCAGTTGAGGGGTTAAGAATGGATTGCATAACAAGCTGAAATCTCTTATAGTCATTATGTTATGAAGGACTTGGTTCATTGTGACTAGCTGCTGCCCACACCAACAAATGCGCCTGTCATTACCTCATATCTCTGTTGAGCAGATCAGCGGTTGCTATGCACGCCTAGTGAGAGCGAGGAGCAGGGATTGCTTGGCTATAGCCTCGGGCTTATCCAATTCAGTTGTGCAGATCCTCCTCTGGAATACATTAGTGCTTGTGGAGCTGTGGTCAACAGTTGCTAAGTGATACCATAGGAATATATTGAAAAACTCATCAAAATAGATCACCACTTCACATTAAGATGCAGGTAGTGCACATGCCGTGGTAAACTGTGGTTCTTATGAACTTACCAACACTGCTTTATTTACATTTTACTATCAAAATGTTCTGTATCAAAATTATTCAGGTTCAGTTGGTGCGTTAATTCAAATCAATTATGTCATCAATAAGTCTGCACACCAAATCTGAAAACATAAAAAAAAAAAAAAAAAAAACCTTGTATATTTTGATTTTGCCACTTAATTTATATATTTATTTTAATGTATTTTTTTTTAAATAAAAATGATAACCATGGACCTCAATTATGATTTTCTACAATATTCTTTTTATTATAATAGTTGTTTTATTTTTGTTGTTGTGTGGATTCCTTGTGATGACTGAATAATGTATAAATGTAAACTTAAATTGGTCTACAAAGGAAATTAGCTGTTACTTTAAGTCCCATCCCATCAATAATATTCTTCACCTGAGAGAAACTGTTGGCTTGAGAAGTTCCATTTTCCCAACGGTCTTAGATCTAATATCACCCCATGAGAGGTTTCCGGACAACCACGGCAACACGGCACGTGGATTTTACCTTTCAGGGCAATATAGGATGGCAGATGTTGGCCCAAATATGTCACAGCCCCTGCAGTTGCCAAGGACAACGTTGTGCATTATCAGCCTTGTTAAATATCCATTAATGAGGTGAGATACGAACTCGGTATTGCCGAAAGGTGGAGTTAACCATCCCTTCTTCTGTTGCTTACGCTCAGCACGGTATCTCTGGAAGTCTTTAATGTCAGTCTGTGAGATTAGGATCAGTCACCTGGATGATTTTCTTTTGTCATTCGCCTACACAATTCCCTTGTGTGTTGAAATTGAAGGTGGAGAAAAAAATGTGACCGCGTGTGTACATATATGTGCGTGTCTGCATAGGCCAATACGCTGTTGTTAGGAGTAATAGCAGACAGAAGATAAAAATAGCGACTCTATTATGATTTGACCTTGGACAGCTGGCTGGTTGGCTGCAGATACCTGGGTGAGTGAAGTGTACGGATCACTGACATGCTCCGTGAAGAGTCTGGGGCAGCCATGATAAATGTGTGCAATTGCAGAGTGATATGTTCTCGTTGCGTTACACCACAGCAGGCACAGGCACCATCTAAACAACACTCACCGTGGGTTTGAGTAACTGGGACAGATTCAAAACCAATAAAATATTACAAACATGGAAAATTGAAGGTGATCTCATCTTTTTTTTTATGCAATCGAGCTTCCGGTGACAAGATTAAAATCTAAGCTATAAGGAGATGTTATAATTTATATCCATTAGAATATATCCATTTATTTCCTTTATATCCATGGGACTGAGTATTAAAACCTAGCAGTGCCTTTTTGGCAACCACACCAACAGTAAGGAAGTAATTCTTCACCCAGTGACTGAGATGAATAACAAAAAACAAGCCTGTGTTTGTACTGGCTGCAGCAGGGGTCATACATATCACAAGCAGCAAGGACTTATGGGAAATACTGGTGAATAAATATTGTTTGATGGATCAGAGAACAGGAACACTCTCAAGGTCAGTAGGAGAGCCATGAGACAGAATGTTTGACAAAGTGCTTTGACCTAATATAATATAGACCTATTTTAAAGGTCTTGTTGGAAATCTATCTATCTATCTATCTATCTATCTATCTATCTATTAGGGATGCTCCAATCGATCGGCCGGAGATCGGTATCGGCCGATAGTCACATTTTATGACTTGATCGGTACTCACTACACTTGGCCGATCTCACGAACCGATCGCAATTTGAAGACGTCAACGCGTGACAACGTACATGATGCGTGGGGACATAAATGATTTGGCGCCACAGTCATGTCATTGCCGGTGTGGAAATGCTATGACGTTTCGAGAAACAATAAAAAATTCGCTATTTGTCTGATCGCGGCCGCTCTAATGCATGTTTTTATACCGGCCAGCCGCGGCACGTTTCTGAAGCGGCTCTCCGCGCTGCTTGGCTAAAAGTAGTCTTTTGTGAGTTGTCACAGCGTGGAGGACGGAACAAAACCTCTTCGGAGCCGTAAGGGATAACGGTAACATAACACGTTGATCGTGGGCTGCTTTTAAATTAACATTTATTTATAAAACAAAATATCTTCTTTGGCCATATTAGCCTACTCAATAGCATTAACACAGGCTTTACTCCTTTCAAACTTTATCTGGAATGTCACCGTTTCTGTCACTGCAACTTCCCGATCAGGCCAACGAACACGCACACACACGAAATCGTCTGCCTCATGGGAAAAAATGTATATATATTTTAAAAAAAAATGTAGTTAATATTTGCATCATTTATGATTTATTTTATCCACCCGCAGATTATCCGCAGCGCCCGTGGATATAGGAAAAGCAAAATATGTTTGCTGCGTAAATCAGACAGACTTACTGAAAATTACAATTAATTCTCTGCCAGCAGGAGGTGTTTTAAAGCGGGAGAAACCGAGGTTTCCCCGGTAACAGCTGTACACAAAGCAGCGCTGAACTCACAAACGCTGCTTTATCAGGCATATAACATGCAAGATGAAATGAAAATGACATAGAAAATTTTCTAAAGATTGTCTTCCTTCAGAAATACAGTGATATAAAAACACCCGCGCCTCGTTTTGATTTTTAAATGTGCAGTACGTGCTCATGTTTATTCAACCAAGCCTTTTGGAAAATCCGTCAGTTTTGATATTGTGGTGAGCGCCACAAATAAATAAATGTATGGGAAACACATCCCACAGCACAACCACCTGAGCCCAACTTCAGTCTACTCATCACCTTAACTTTAACTGCGTTTGTAGCCGGACGCGCGCGAAATCGTCTGCCTCATGAAAAAAATGTAGTTAATATTTGCATCATTTATGATTTATTTTATCCACCCCGCGACCCACCCGGGAGAAACAGAGGTTTCCCCAGTAACGGCTGTACACAAAGCAGCGCTGAGCTCACAAACGCTGCTTTATCAGGCATATAACATGCAAGATGAAATGAAAATGACATCGAAAATTTTCTAAAGATAGTCTTCCTTCAGAAATACAGTGATATAAAAACAGCCATGCCTCGTTTTGATTTTTAAACGTGCAGTACGTGTTCATGTTTATTCAATGAAGCCTTTTGGAAAATCAGTCAGTTTTGATATTGTGGCGAGCGCCACAAATAAATAAATGTATGGGAAACACATCCCACAGCACAACCACCTGAGCCCAACTTCAGTCTACTCATTACCTTAACTTTAACTGCGTTTGTAGCCGGCGCCATAGCCAGACTGATAAACAAACACAGACCAGAAGTTAACTTCGGGCCAGGCGCATGCGCCCGATGAAACCGTCTAAAGCTTGAAGCATCAGAATCGGCATCGGAATCGGCCGATCACCATGACAAGAAATCGGTATTCAGTATCGGCTATCTATCTATCTATCTATCTATCTATCTATCTACACGCACAGTTAATAATTTGTTAATAATGTCTGTTAATAGTACGCCAAGTACCATACATAGATTACTGCATATGAATATGCAGTGCTTATTCTTAAATGTGACATGCATTGTCCACCACTAACGTAAATGAACTTGTATATACCTAATATTAGCCTAAAATTCGATTTTTATATTACAAAATATAGAAAACATATCATATATATTAATCATGTGAATGCTAAATTGCTTAATTCTTTATCTTTCTACATTTCTGCCAAGGAAATACAGTAGCTGCAGTTGCCTTATTGGGGCTGCTCACTGTTCCACATATTGCTAAGCAACGGAGGAGAGGTCCTTGGAGAATGTAGCCAGCCTTCTGACTCCATAACGCAGCCTTGGCACATGCACACATACACACACACACAGATGGTGGTGAGCAGATC